TGACTATAAACGGATAATTTAAAAGTAAAATGGACCGAAACTTTTAAACAAAAACTTTTGAAACCAATTTATTGTTCCTTATTTAATTTAAATATCTTACTTATTTCGGTATATTTTTGAAATCCCTATTTTTATTTTATTACTATTTTGCTACAAAAAGCCGCCACTTTTTTTTCTTTTAAAAAGCCATCCAAGCACATCATTCCAAGCACACTAAAGAAATTTACAAACATACAATTTAAGCGCGAAGAACATAACCCTTCCTTGGCAGTCGGGTAAAAAAATAAATAAAGTGTACTGTTTTGAGCCTAAGTAGGTAGTATTGTTTAATAGATTCGAATCTAAGATTTGATAATCCTGTTCCTAATGTGAGAAAAGTTCAATAATAATTGGGCAGAAGGTCCGCCATCAATTTGTACATATTTTAGTAGTGACGATAAGTAAGTAGCAGTTGCAGTGGAGTGTAAACATAGCGTTTAAGCGCACAATATTTAGCGTTTTATTTTCCAGAATTTTGTAGAACTATGGGCGTAACGGCTCAATGCACGTTTGTAGCAGTTTATTGATGACATAATTTATTCGGCGACAGGTTATTCAGACGGTGTCCAGAGTGAGAACTGACATCAATCACGTGTGATGATCGTTTTGCGCGAAGGTATGCGGCGTGTACGAAATGTACCAAGACAGTGATGCACGCACTAGAATTCGAACCTCGCGCGTTTGAAGTTGCCTGACGCCTGACGGTGTGCCGAGCCCATTGAGCACTGGTGTAATAATAATGGCTGCACTGCGCGACGCGCCGATTGATTTACGAGCGGTGAGTAATTTATGTCCGTTTAATTAAAGTACTAGGAGCCGGAAGACTACTTAGCTGTTGTTCGGTCACCGATACACTTGTGTTGCACACTCGCTCCATGACTCATTCCACTCACAATGATATAGCGAGATTGGCCACGAATCTGCGGAAGGCTAGATGTGCAAGCGCATATGTATGCATAGAGTGCGGCCATTAACATAAGCCACGTAACCGATAATGCGGGCCCGGCGCGCCGGCATGCCTCGGCCGTAGTAGGCGATAGCGCGCGGAGCCAGTAACTCATAACAACATGTCCGTCGCCATGTTAGCAATGTTGTTCGCATAAATACCATATATGCGTGTCATTAGTTAGGGTAATTGCTGCCGCTCCACTGCGCTCGATATCTTATTTACATGGCACGAGGTTGACCAGAGCACGTTGCCACCGCTCGCTTAGAAAGTGCCAGATTTTTCCATATATCTATTGAGTACCTCTGTACTAGTACCAGTAAAGCAAGTTGAAGCCCTAACCCGGCTACTGAAAACTCATGTCTAAAAAGTGTGAAACAAGAAGATATTCGTATCTAAAATGATTATGTACTAACTATTCAATATTTATCGCCGTATTAAATTAACAATTTATATAATATTTTTAATATTTTCGAGCTATGTGTATGGATGTGTGACGGAATGTGTCAGATACACACACCGCCATCTAGTTTCAAACCAAGCCGAGCCTGTACTATGAGAGCTAGATTGACTGATAATTCTAGTATTCACTTGTATATTTTTTTTTGTAAATACATACATATTAATATTCTTCTATACTTAGTGGATAGTTCGCAGGTTAATACGGGTTATTTGCCACTTTTCTCTGAGGCTTATTCCTTATAACTATTATAATTTATTGTTTTTTTTTATAGGAGTTGGCACACGACCTGCATTTCACTTATCAAATCATGGCAAGAGGTATAGGAGTTAGGAGGGGATAGATAAACATACACACACATCCATTGTTATATGTATGCATCATACATTATGACCTGCTGCTAAATGGTAATGAAATTTAGTGCGTACACTTTACATTTGTTCGTTAACATGTTTAAACTTGAATTTCAATCATTTTCAAATTATTTATTTCAAATATAGTTAAGGTTTTTTACCGACTGAGGAATAGTGCATAGACATTTTTGAATATATACATATTCAAAAATGTATAATTTGACAATAACAATAAAACGTAGCTAATTTTATTGCTTCTAACAAAATATATGTTTAGGATAATAACGTCGACGAATGGTTATAAACTGCACTATTTAGTTTTCGAACCGTTACCGAACCGTTAATCGAAAATTTTAATTTTACAAAATCTGTCAAAGTTACGTTCTCAAGCAACTGGATAAATGAAAGTAACGGAATAGACAGAGTATGAAAAACATATTTTTGAATTTTCCAAATGTCATGAATTCACAATTTTAAACATTTTGAGCGAGAAAATTTGAAAGAATAATTCAATAAAAGAAGAAAAAGTTAAATCTTCGGAGCCCTTGTTTAACATTGTTCCGTTGAGCTCGGGAGGAATTGTTCGATAACTGTGAAAAATTGAGGCGGCTTCGCTAACGGCGCAAATTGAGTGAAGTAACCGTGAAGCAGCGGCACCGGCCGTATAATGGCGCGAGGGGAATATCAAATACTTCTTCGATGAAACGATACCTCATATTATACCTGTACAACGTTGCCCCGTGCATATTTTGCCACAGTCGCTTTCTTATTATTAAATAACATTATTCCAACTGGTAAGCATGACGGTATCGAGACAAGGAATAATTTAGTCTATGACGCAAGCGTGCCGGCGGTGTTGCAAAGTGGGTCGAGTGGCTACATAGCGAGGAGGCACGGAGGGACGGGAGGATGAGGCCAGAGGGTGCAAGGAGGTATGGGCGGCGGCTTTGAGCGGCGTCTGTGAAATTGATCCGTTCATACTTCATAATCATTGGCGAGAGACGGGAACTCACGCTAACTGCGCCGTCGCGCCTCAATGCCGCCGACGACTCCTCACGTACATACCGTGATACCGCCGCGTCACCTCCCTGCATCGTTCTTACTCACTACTATTTACTAAAATACAGCTTTGATTGTGAAATAACCCGCATGTTCTACTTCTCTTAGTTTGTCAATAAAAATGTTTAACATTGTAATAATACCGTCAGGGAAGAAGCGGGCAGAGTGAAACAACTTGAAGCATTTATTGATGACCGTGAGTGACAATTTGGAGGGAAGAATGACGTTAAATGTTATATAAATTCATATATTCAATGTATTCGCGTTGGAGTGCGGAGGTGGCGCGAGACGTACAAAAAGCAGACGGCCGGCGTCTGGTGCGGGGCTCACCTTACTCCATCACGGCTCTGTGTCTATATTGTTTCTTAAACTTGCAGAAATATATGTAACATTTAACTTGTGGCTGTTAGTACAGCTTTTACAGCCAAATTTTACATGATTAAAGTCTGGGCTATGGCATTTCAGTTGTTTTTTATAGTACTTAATACTAAGTACCCACAGTTACATCCATGAGTATTGACAAATATTTAGACGCTGTGATTCCACAGACAGACAGCGATATATAATCCAAATCTTAAAGAACATAACATGCACAATAACATAACTGTAACTTTAATTCATAACTTTATGTATTAATCTGCATCATTAATAGAAAATTAATCAAGAGCATTTTTGATTTCGCACGACGCTTTATTTTTATCAATTAACATACGGACCAGTATGTAATGATTTAGAATAGGTTCATTAGAACCATACTATATCTTTTTCTTAATATATTCTTCTTCTTCTATATGACTATATGGCTCGCACTGTCTAAAAGTTGTCAGATTTCATGTAGAGCCAAGTTTCTAACTCTACACGCCAACTCTAACTTTACAAGCGCTCACTTTACAAACTCTACACCTTAGTCAAAATATTGTGGTTTGGCCGTTTCGCTACCGTCACATAGGCGTAAGTTGAAAAAAAACATTTCCCCACCACCACATGGGCAAGTCTCATACAAACTGCCATCCCTTAGTTTCAGGGGTTGGAGGGGTAAAAGTTCCAAGTTTTAGCATTTTTTGTTGTTTGTGTATTAATACTAGCTTATATACCAAATTTCAGCTTTCTAAGACTTCAGGAAGTACCCTAAGAATTTTGATGATCAACAGACTTATATTATAAATGTGGAAGTGAGTTTGTTTGTTTATTTATTAGCCTTTCACACCTAAACCACTAAATCATTTTTTTTAATTCTTTCACCAATGGAAAGTTACATTATCAGCGAGTTAAATATACTACTTTTTAAAAAAAAAGCTAATAACATTGTAAATGTAAAATGTTTGTTTGTCACGCTTTAATGCGAACCACCTCAACCACTAAACCGATTTTAAAGATTTTTTCACCAATGGAAAGGAACAAACAGGGCTAGATTACTTTTCACCATGATAACCGACACACATGCGGGCGGAGCTGCGAGCAAAAGCTGTGAAATTAAAACTACGTGATTAGAAAAATACAAGTGCTTTGATAATTCAAATTGTTGTCATTATTTTATTCTTTGTTTTTATTTACTTAAATAAATTTAAAAAAGGTTCAGTTATAAAGGAATAGGTATCGGTTGGTCGAGGGTTGATTCCTGGGTCGCTCATAATGCCATGATCTGATAAGTGCGGGCCAGCTGGCGGCCATTGTATGCTAATGTCCGGGCAAACTGCAACAGCGCCGACTAATGCACGCCTTCTAAAACACCGGCAGATTCGAAATGAGCAAAAAGTAGCACGTGTTATGTCTACATAAACATATTGTATTATAGTGATGTTTTTGTTTCACTAAGCACCGCGTTGATAGCGAGGGAAGGTGCTTGCCGCTTATTGACTGCCTCAGTCAGCCATCGCGATCGCCCCCAATGTTATGTCTCTGAACTCTTCATAAGTTTCCTCCAACAAATCCTTCCGATGAAATTCTTCGCAATGAAGTTCCGTGACAAAAATATATTTGAAGCGTCCAAACTCACTCGAGTGTCGACAACTTCGATAGTAACAGATTCGAAATTAAATCAAATAAACGAGTTTTGAGACAGCGAGGCGCGTGCGACACATTGTGCGATGTGTGCAGATGCGGCGCGACGCACAATCATAACCGGAATGGCAGTAGTAAGTAAATGATATGTGGAGAGCGCTCGCCAGGGTCGGTGAGTGCAGCAGGTGGCGGACGTGCACTGGACTCCACGTACGTAAGTCTGACTGGACGTCGCATAAATATGGCGCTACGAGCATACGCGACATGCGACACGCTGGCTTTTGCGGTGCGGTGCAGGGATACATTTAAAAACAATAGAGTTCCGGTTCCGGCGCGCGCAGACCTCGCGGCGCCGCAACAGCTGAGCGATGACGACACGCCACGCCGCGCTGGAGAGCCCACAGCACATGTTTGTCATGTCAAATACCAATATACTATACTTAGATGTCACGCATACTTGTAGCTTGCACCGGCAGCGCCAAAACTGCATCGTCTTTGTCATGTTTGAATAATGCCACTTGTGGTTCCTAAATAAGTACAACAATAAAAATTAATATTTCCTTGCTACTTATCTTTTCTACGTGCTCGTGTATAAATTATCTAATCGTAAAAAATAAAATTGAGAGTAAAAATGTGTATGTAACATGCTATCAGCAGTTTACACCGATGCTTGTTATTTCATCATGAAACTAAATTACCTAGTATATTTTAGGTTACTAATACATTAAGGAGTACTCATAACCAATTTTCAAATACCATTTAGATTAAGTAGATGAAGGATGAAGCACCATTGTGTTCCTCGTGAAGGATGAAGCCACGTTACTTGTCCCATATAGTGTAGCACCACTATTAAATAAACAACCTAGTTCAGGGATTCCCAAACTATTTTGGGCAAGAGACCCCCTTTCTAAAATGAACTAATACCTCAGACCCCATAGTCAAATTACTGGACGCTTATCGACATGTTAATTTTTTTAAAGTACAACAATGATACTTCCTACTAAATATTAGTCATTATTATAACAAGTTGGTACACGTAACACCACTAATACAGTATCTTGAAAGTTTCAAATAATTCAAAAAACCTGTGTCAATAGGGCTCGAGTTTTAGACCTCGTCGACCTCCGAAATCAGGGTTTTGGGAATCCCTGATCTAGTAAATAGGAGCTTCTCTTTGGAATCGAAGTGGTAAATTTGTAAAAATAATTCTCCAGGATAAACTTTGCAGAGACTCTAATACAGAATTACATTCCTTGTTTAAGTTTAATAATATTCATTAATTACTAAAGGCAAAAAGGAACCCTTATATACCCTTATTCGTTTTCCGTCTATCTGTCATGACCCCTTTTTCAGGAGCGGCGGAGAGATATCAAGTTGAAATTAAACATCAAGTACTTAAGTTTATGTTCCCTTGAAGCTATAAAAAGCTGGTAGCTACATTTTGTTTTTCCTACAGTCTTACAGTGCAAAAATGTGAAATATTGTATCGCAGTTAAATTAAAACCTGTCACCTGTTCACCATTGATCAGAATATTGATCGTGCGATTTTGCGTGCGAGTTAGAAAGGTCTTAAGGCACAAGTGAAGGAAAAAATCTGAATGTCGTTTTAATGTGATAACTAGTAAATAGTTAGTATATCACATTAAATGTGTTTCACGAAAACAATCTCATACTTTGCGTTCTGGAATTAGACTGTTACGCAGTCATCACTGCAATGTCAAGCAATATCCTATCACGACCTGCAACATACTCAACTCTGTTAAGAGCTAAGTTGCTATCTGAGTACGTCCTGTAGTTAAAACTTTTTGTTCTAATTTGGTTAGAACATAAGTTTATGCTGACCCTACAGTAGCCGAAAGACGGGAGCTATCTCATAGTAATTTTTGACCTAACCGTGCCTTCCAATTGCCTATAAGGTTTGGTCAATCACACTAGTATTTAATAAATTAATTAACGTTCACACATAAGTTAGTTCTACTTGAATAAGGTTGGACGAAGGCACGGATTCATGTTATTAAACGGTGTTTATAGATAGGTATTAGGTGCACTATTCTGCACAAAATAACTATCTGAGTAGACGCTGTAAAGGAACAATAGATAAACAGTCACGTAACTATTCAGTATCCAAAGCAAATAGTTGAACGTAGAGGCAACCCGGTTCATTCTGCCCACTGTACCCTACATAACATGACATACCCGGACTTAAATTAGAAACGTGTACCCCGACCTGGTTGTTTTGTACGAAGGCATATAGATGTAGGTGAGATCGTATTAATTCTTTTCCAAATGTTAAAAACTTAAAAGTTTTAATATTTAAAAAACCCTTCAATGTAACCATATTCAGGTTTTTAAATTTTAAGGTCGCTGTGGAAACTTTAATATGAGTATTAAATGCATTCGGTAATTCTTTTCTGAATGAAACTTACCCTTTAGCTTTTATTATGACGTAACAAACAAATAAACAGACTAACTTCACATTTATAATACAAAGTCATGATAATGAAGCATTAACTCTGCGTGATCCGAAGTAAATAATTTGGTTTGTTATAAGGTTTGAGTGGGTGTTCCTCGTTCCTCGCATGGTAACGCTGTTCGGGTACTCGAAGTTCGCTAATGGAGCGTGAGATTAACTGAAGTTGATGGCGAGGCTCGTGTTAATTATACTCCTCCGTTTTTAATATGAGCCTCGTTCGACATGAGCTCAGTTTTAACTCAAAGCTGAGTGCGTCTCACATTAACATGACGAGGCAGGGGTGGCTCACGCAGAACTTCTACTTGTGACTATACGCTTTTTTGAAACATGTCGATATGTTACAAATTATACCTAAGTCTGTTGGAAGAATATTGAAGCAATTAAAGTTTTTTTTTGTTGGTAAGTTTGAGTGTAAGTTTAAATGTTAATATTTGGGTGTAGTGTCATGCTTATTACAATACATTGTTATTGCAGAACATTTACCTCAAACGTGGATTGGTAAGAGGTAGGTAATAAATAATTTGTGGATTTGCATTAAATGTATATGTGATTATATTATAAATATAATGCAGTCGGAGTATTCCAAAAATATTAATAAAAAATACTGTTACTTAATTAATATCATCATCATCATCAGCCTGTCGCAGTCCACTGCTGGACGTTGCTCGCCACTTCGATCGATTTTCGACTTAATTAATATGGCTTCTCTAAATGGGTGATTACACTCTTTTGGTTAATTATACGCATCATCAAATGCTTACTTCCTATCAAAAAAACATTTAAATATTTTTGGTAATAAAAAACTGATCATAGTCTGGTATTGGTCGTATTTTTATTTAATTAGATACCTGTTTGTCCTGTCTGGTAAGAATCCAATGACTTCAAAACAGAATATTTTAATTATATTAAATCATATAGACGAATACAATAATCTACCTATAATATCTTGCTATTCTTACAAAATCGTAAGAGGGAGGTGATGGAGGTAAATACGGACGAAATGTACCCAATAAATATTTTTCATGTACGAGTAGTTTTCGATATATTAATTGTAATTGACTGCACGGATTGCGTAGTGGTTTAAGCGGTCGCCACGCCGCTTCCTATTACGCCGAGTGTTGTGGGTTCAAACACCACATGGAACAACACTTTGTGTGATCCACAAATTGTTGTTCTGAGTCTTGGTGTACTTTGTGTCCGTTTATGGATGTTTGTAAAGTCCCCCGCGACACAGGATTTATTCCTAGTGCGGGAGTAGTCTGTTAAAAAAAGAATAATAATTAACAAGAACTACTCGTACATATAAGCCATTCACACCGCAATCTCGTCTTATACTCGGAGACGACTTGTTGCCATGATTCTATTGTTCAACGTCTCTTCCCTATTCATTAAAGCTTTCATACAGCCGGTTGTGGGAGCTTTTAACGAGGCCTTTCTTCAGTATACTGTGTATCTGATTATCAGGTATATGTCTTTCAGGGCTTAAATGCATCACCTACACTCTCTTGTTGAACACACCCAAACCATCGCAACATGCCTTTCTCAATTCTCGTCTCTACATATCTTGGCCCTCTCCGTTTTCTTAGCAAGAACTATTTATCACCTATAAACAAAGTCAGGTAGATTAAAATTCTTAGTCCATTCATTAAAATCTCATGATGCACTTAAGATAGTTTATGGTTAAAATTCCTGATCACATTACCTAATGCACATCACGGTGGAACCGCTTCAATACCCATGAATACGGAGCTAACTTAAGTTTTACATTCACTTATGGCGCTAGATGTGGACGCAACTGCACTTATTTGGTTTTAATTTAAATATACAACATTATCCTGTTTTAACAATGTTTTACATAATCCTTGCGTCAATATGCTCTGCTAAGTCGAGCTGGTGTAAAATTGTCTTGTACCTATGCTATCGCCAAGAACAACTATCGATATTATTATGTAGAACTTTCTTTTTCTTTCTATTTAGTTTCTAGAAAATTTATAAAGTCTTGTAATATTATTTGTCTGTTGTACATCTGAACCGTTTTCAAGTTTCTTATAAATACGTACTTTTAAACACGACGTATTAAAGTCTCATCTACTTAACAATCCTTTTTTGATAGTTTAGGACACTATTTACATACTATTTTTTTATTTTAACGCAATAAAAGTACAAAATGTACCTATTAGAATTAAAAATTAAGACTACGTATCAACCGTGTTTAAACTTAAGGCTTACTTTTCGATAAAACAAATTAATCTTTTACATAGGTGCCATTTTGTTGAAAGCATGTTGTTTACTGAATTGATTAGATACTCGTACGCTCATTTAGCGGTCTCTAGAATAATTGCTACAGGATGTGCGTTGATGATTGACTTTAGACATTCGAACGCAACGACGACTGATGTCGAAGGCTCTTATTTATTTTTATTTCTCATCTTATAATTTAAGAGATCGGCTGTGAGATCAGTTTTCCATTTTGTCATCACTATACATATGACAAAGCAACCTTTTTTGTGTGTTAATCTCGATAATCAAAATTTATGTTTTATTTAAACAGACTAACTAATAATTACTGACGTTTAAAAAAAACAGACTAAAAAAATGTCACGCTCCTAATACCGGGCTTAAAATAATTTTGAAGCATGTGTTTTTTGACACGTGAAGGTCTGGATCTGAAGAGCTCAAACTTGCTACTCAATTAATGAATATTATTTACAGATTTACTGGCTCGAATAATAAAGGAATTTTTGCGGTAGTTGGTATTTGTTCGGTACTGCTAAGGGTGGATTATGCCTAGTGCGTAAATTATGCGGTACTCTGATTTTGTTTTTCTCGAAAAGAATCGAGCAATCTATATCTCCGTTAATTATTTTTAATAATGTAATAATATCGGAGACAGTACGTCTATTTGTTAAAGGCAGAAAATGATATCTCTTACATCTTGTTACAAATCCGTGATCAATACACTTACACTTATACTGCAAATATCTTAAAAA